TCTGGGATTCTGACTTTGGTCTGGCCCAGCAACAACTGTTACAGGCATTTGGTGAGTAAACCAGTAGATTAGCATCTGTCTTTCTGTGTCTTTCTTTGTCTCCTTGTATTTCAAATAAATATGTAAATAAAAATTTTAAGGAGATCAGAATAGATGTATCATATTTCTTAGTATATGTGCTGCTGCAGTGAGCACATTGTGTCATATTTCTTGATTGCCAACTACCATACAAAGTTATAGTCATCAATGCAGAGTGGCACTGGCATAAAAACATACACATAAACCAGTGAAAAAGAATAGTCTTGAAATAAGTCCATGTATAAATGACAAATCCATATTTCACAAAGGCACCAAGAATACACAGTAAGTACACCAATATTATAAGTCACAATAATAGGTGTAAGTAAACACAAATATGTACATGAATGAGACTGGGCAAACTGGATTATCGACAGGCAGAAGAAAAAATGGACCTATATCATCTACCATACATAAAAGTATTAAAAGGGAACCTTGTACATTATCATGGAGAATATAAACTGGTACAGCCTTTATGAAGACTCCTTTAAAAATTAAAAATTGAATCACCATATGATCCAGCTGTTCCATTAGGTGAGTATATAGCCCAAGGATACTAAGTCAGTATCTTGCAGGGTTGTCTTCAGTCCTGTGTTTTTTGCTGCATTATTCATAATAGCTAAAATATGGAATCATTCAGAGTATGTCCATGGATGAATGGATAAAGAAACAATATATACATGTAAAACATATATATTATAACATATATGACATGTTGTACTATATAACTTCAACCTTAAACAATAAATTATCCCATTTCTTTTTTTTTTTTTTTTTTTTTTTTTGACAGGCAGAGTTAGACAGTGAGAGAGAGAGAGACAGAGAGAAAGGTCTTCCTTCCGTTGGTTCACTCCCCTAATGGCTGCTACAGCCGGCACTACACCAATCCAAAGCCAGTAGCCAGGTGCTTTCTCCTGGTATCCCATGCAGGTACCTTCCCGGGCCACAGCAGAGAGCTGGACTGGAAGAGGAGCAACTGGGACTAGAACCTGGGGTGTTGGCGCCACAGGCCAAAGATGAGCCAAGTGAGCCGTGGCGCCGGCCAAATTATCCCATTTCTTTTTTGACAGTCAGAGTGGACAGGGAGAGAGAGAGACAGAGAGAAAGGTCTTCCTTTTGCCGTTGGTTCACCCTCTAATGGCCGCCGCGGCCGGCGTGTGGAGGCTGGCGCACTGCGCTGATCTGAAGACAGGAGCCAGGTGCTTCTCCTGGTCTCCCATGGGGTGCAGGGCCCAAGCACTTGGGCCATCCTCCACTGCCTTCCCAGGCCACAGCAGAGAGCTGGACTGGAAGAGGAGCAACCGGGACTAGTACCTGGTGCCCATATGGGATGCCGGTGCCACAAGTGGAGGATTAACCTAGTGCGCCACGGCGCCAGCTCAAATTGTCCCATTTCTTACAACACTGATGTATTTAGTAGTCGTTATGCTAGATAAAATAAACCAGATGCAGATAAACAACATATAATCTCACTTATGTGTGAGGGAATTTGGAACTACAGAACAAAACAGAATCAGAGTATATTATAAACAATGATTCTATGAACATCCTTTCAAAAATGTTTTTGTTAACTGTAAGACAAAGCATCCATTGTATTAGTTACTAAAAATGGAATTGCAAATGATATGAGCTTCTAACTTTGATGTATATATTGCTAGCTAGTGCTCCAGGAAAATTCGATCATCCGTGAAAAAAAAAAATTCAAATGTATCTTGCATTGATGAATACTCACCTCTGAAATATATTCCAATTGAAAAATCATTCTACTAATTCCTAGAAACAAACTAGTATTGATTTAAGACCTAAAGTAATTGCAGTTTAGGCCACAGAATGAGCCAAGTCTAGATTTCTTTTTTAATCATTTTAATCAAGAATAAATGAAAAGCATATAATTAAAAATAGCCATTCACTGATTCAAAGGATACACTATACCTATATCATACACCTGAGTATAAAATTATATGCCTAACTTCAAGATTATACAACATGCCATGATTGGATAGACTGTTTGCAATTATAATTCCCACCTGTATATTGGACCCTTTGCAATGTGACTGCAAGTCTCTTCCTATAAAAGGTAGAATTACATCTCGCCACCAAAAATGCAGTGTCCATGTTACTTGTTTTGACAAATAGAAAGCAACAGAGGTGACCGTGTGCCAGCTCTGCATCAGTCCATCAACTCACTCCTGGAAATTTGCTCAGTTACTACAGATTGAGCTAACCTGCTGAATGACAAAAGTACTTGGACTAGTGTTCCAGCCCTCTAAAGCAAAATCACAAATGCATGAGTAAATCAACCCAAGATCAAAAGGCCGCCTAGCTAGCTAGCAAGCTCAGCTTAAACTGCTGAAATACATAACAAAAATTCAACATATAGTAGTTATTTTAAGCAATTAAGTTTTCACATGTATTTTTATGCGAATACATTGAGCATATTTCTCACAAAATTTATTAACAGGAAAAATAAGAAGAGCTCCTAAATCTAGAAGAATAGGATTTTTTTCCTGTAAGATATAGCTTTTAGTTTGAATCTGAAAGGAGGACCTAAAATCGAATACATGACGTTTACAGAGGAAAATTCCAAGCAGACAGAGGAACTGTCTCAGTTATCAACTTTTAGAGGAATGTTTATAAAAGGCATTGTTAAAAAAAAATGAACACTAATACACAACAAGATTGACGTGTTTGTATCATAGAGTATTGTCAGAATTAAACAACTCAAGACAGGTAACACACCTAACACTAGTTTTAGATGCCAACTCAAGAGTCTGATTTGGTCTGCTAACCTTTCCGATTGTTTCTGTTTCATACATATGCACGTGACACATGGAAATGTGCAGGAAACAGCCAAGGCAGGAAAAGAAAATTGCTGGGAGAGGCAGAAACATCAGTGCACTTGGTTTATTTAGGCTACGCCCCTAAACAGTAGTTTGTAGCTGACCGAGAATTTCACATTTTTTCATTCACTGTCTACAACCAGCTGAATAATTTCACACATACTTATTGTCTGACTTCTGTGTTTCAGGCATTGTGTAAGATAATGTTTAAATAATGTAGGAGCAACTACAGATAGTACATTCATGCACCCTGAACATCTTGTTTCTAACCAAGATTCCATCTCCAGTTTACCAACAGGAAGTTTAAATAAAATATTCAGGCTCATTCCAGCAAGTGTATCTAAACGTTGTGAATTAATATTATCCCAGTCTGAAATTATTTTCCTACTGCTATCATTTTTCAAATATACCAAATAAGCATATTAGCATTTATTTTGACATTCTAACTTTTAATATAAAAAGTAGTAAAACAAATCCTTTGAAAAATCTATCTTTTCTTAGCCCCTTTGTTTTATAAAGTGAATCAGAAAGCTATATTTGAAAGTAACCTATCATAAACATTAATCAAGATAGTGATTCGACACAGAATTAAGTAGATTTGTTTTCATTTCCCAAGTTTTCCTTTGCATATTTTGTGTGTGCAAGTTATTCCTTAACTTTTTGATATATTGTTTGAAAATTTGCTTTTTTATTTTCATCACTAATTTTGAAAACCCCTGCACTGTTAACATCTTAAGTTGGGTTATGGTAGAGAAACATTCCAACAGGAAGTTTAGCTGCATTTCTGACCTATTATACAAGTAATTTTCTCATTCACTGATTTGTTTATTGAAAATATTGTTTGCAATGGTATGAACTAACCAAAAAGTCTAAGTAACTTCTAACAATCCTAGTGGGTAATGGTAAATGCATGAAATTACAAAGTATGCCAATAACTTAATATTGTAAAACATAGATCCAAGTTTTCTACAGAACGACCAAGCTTGAAACAAAAGGAATTTTTTTTTCCTTTTACAGCAACATGTACACATTGTTAAGAGAGAAAATATCCTATTTGTTTAGCAAGTAGTAGAAAGAACTGCATGTTTTTGTCAAGGATTCTCCTTTTATTTGTAAATGCCCATTATTCAATTTCACTAGTTTGTTTTAGCATGCAGCATTTCAGTGCACTGAGACCGTTATGTTAATATAATAGATGTCTATCAAACCATCAAACATTTATTACAATTAACTAGAGTGTTTTTAAAATAAGATTAAATTATGATTTATTTTGAATTTTGCTTCAATAAGCCAAAGTTCTTTTTTCAAAGATTGAAAATTGACTGATCATGGTAAATAATGATTACAAAATAGATTTTTTAGAAGAGTATGCTCAGGAAAAATGTGATATTTTGTATGCTATCTTTTAAGTTGGAGCCAGTTCTTCTCATGAAGTGAATTAGGTATTTGCTACATTCATAGTGTAAAGATATCTGTATTAAGCAGAGGCAGAAAAAAAATCTCATTTTCAAAAGCTTATCAACACTTAGCAAAGGTTCTAAAATCACCTGGTAATCTTTGATAAATTTGTAATAATATATTTTATTAATATTTAGTGTCTGCAGTGAAGAAGATTGCAATCTTTAATTTTTTGATTTCAAGCAGAAAGTTCAAAACAGTAAGACTTCTGTGAAATACTTTAATATCCAGGTAGATCAAAGTTTATCTCTTAAGTGTAAAATTCCCTAAAGTGCACTCATATAACACATGTCAATTTGATTTATAATCTTTTGACTTTTATCATGAATGTTTACCATAGTTTAAACAGATATTAAATGTGAGTATATTAAAATCACACAATAAAAAAGGGTATTCCCTATTTCAGGTTTACTTGAGCTCTACTGACCATAAATAATACATTATTCTAAAATTATGGGGATTAAAATTATGTGGTATTTTTAAAAATTCACTAACTTTTGAACCAAGTTTGCTCAGAAAGTCCTGACATACAACTTACCACATGTGGACATGGGCAACTCATTTGATATCTACCTTCATCTAACTTTCCAAAATATAAAATGGAATAATCAAAATAATTCCTACCTGTCATCTGGTTGTCCATTGCTTTATTATATTGAGTATTTTTCTCAGCTCCTCTGGCACTTGGTACATGTTGAATGACTATTAGGTCAATCTCCAAACGGGAAGATCCACCATTTGACCTAAAACACATATTTTTAAAATTTGTAATTAGATTCCTTATATTTTAAAATAACTATTCCAATGAAAAGAGAAAAGAAATTCTGATAGCCAAATAATGACTTCCCAATGCTGTCCGTGTCTCAAATGCATGAACCTGTGACCAGATTATCTTACACAGTGAAATGGAGTTTTCAGATGTGTTATAGTTAAGAGCCTTTTATTTCAGACCTATTTTTCAGACTATACAAATAATAAAATGAAAATTGTGCTTCTGACGTTGATTTCCAAAGTGGATGAACCAGCCAGGTAACATTTCTCTCCGTTAAATTTTTACATTTTCTGACTTCTTTTCTAATAAAATCATTTTGTTGGAAGATATTGGTATTTTTAAATTCCCCTGCAAAGTAAATCTGGTCTTGATGGTACTGAATATATAATTATTCAAGATACTTTTTTTTAACAAATCAGCAGAATAATTACCCCCTCCCAAAACCTGCCCAAGCCCTAAAACCTGGTAACATGTTACCTAACATGGCAAAGAAGAATCCCACAGCAGAACATACTGATGTTGTTAATCAGTGAACTTTAAAGTAGGGATATTGCCTACTATGATCATGGGCACCCAATGTAATTACAAGGATCTTTTAAAAGTGGAGGGAGGAGCCAGAAGACAGAGTCAGAGTGATGTGATGTCCACTGCTGCACTTAGGACAGAAGGGAGGACTAAAGTCAGGGTGGCTGCCTCTAGGACTGAAAAACCAGGGAATGATCTTCTCCTGAAGTGTGCAGAAGGAAACAGGCTGGCTACTCCCTCGCCTTCAGGACAGTGAAACTTGTTTTTGCCTTCTCACCTCTGCAACTATAAAATACTTTTCTTTTGTTTTAAGCCCGGTACTCTGTGACCATTTGCTATCAGCAACAGAAAACTAATACAGACTTTCAGTTATCCTTTATGCTGAAGACATCTCTTAATTTACCCTTCTTTTGTTCCAATGTATTTCTTGTATCTTTATTTTCTACAAGAAATAAACTCAAGTTTTTGTGTTTATTTGTAATAATTTGACATTCAGTATAATCCAACTCTTGGTCTCAGCCAGACTCTACAATATGATGCCTCAATGTTTCTAAATTCAGGGCTACAAGAGTTCCACACACATGAGGGTGTCATTGGACTGCATTGGCTTTTCTTTTGTTCACAAGATGGAAGTATCTACATAGGATTCTGTTGTTACTGTCACAAGGAGAGAGGAGAGAGGGGACAGGAGACAGGAGAGAGAAGAGAGGAGAGAGAGAGAGAGAGATAAAGAACAAATTCCTATAAAATATCTTATAAAGGGCATCCCATATAACTGAAAAACCTAATAACAAATCTCACATTAATCAAAGTTGTATTTAGTCCTTTGAATAATATACTCAGAAGTAGATCTCTATCCTTTATTTGTGCTTTTCTAGTCATTTTATTCTCAAACTCTGTTTTTAAAGTGAGACTAAGCTTGCATTGTACAATTTTAGCAAATTAGTAGAAATAGTCCTTTCTGAACAGTTCTATATTTTTTAAATATTTATTTATTTATTTGAAAGTCAGAGTTACAAAGAGAGAGGAGAGGCAGAGAGAGAGAGAGAGGTCTTCCATCTGATGGTTCATTCCCCAATTGGCCGCAATGGCCGGAGCTGCACTGATCCAAAACCAGGAGCCAAGAGCTTCTTTCGGGTCTCCCATGTGGGTACAGGGGCCCAAGGACCTGGGCCATCCCCCACTGCCCTCCTAGTCCACGGCAGAGTGCTGGATCAGAGTGGAGCAGCCAGGTCTCGAACCAGCGCCCATATGGGATATCGGTGCTTCAGGCCAGGGCGTTAACCTGCTGCGCCACAGCACCGACCACTTTCTGAACAGTTCTAACAAATTTATCAAAGGGGCTCTCATTTGGGCTGGGTTCCCCAGAAAGCTTAGCTTAAAGCAGAGGTTCAGGTGCTAATACTTTCTTTTAAATGTTCACACTAGCATAAGGAAGGTAAAGAGGGAAAAGATTAAGGAAAACTGTGTGTCTCACCTGCTTCGCGAAGCTATACCACACTGTTCTGAACATGCTGCAAATGATGCAGTACCATATGTACTGTGATGCAGTACATAGTGGTGCAGTGCTCTATGCTGGCATGTTCACTAGGCACATTAGACTTTCCGGGAAGAACGTATCAAGCTCAGAACAAGAAAAAGAAAGGAAATAAAATTTGCAGGCTGTGGTTGTACATCCATCCTTGAGCCAGAGTTAGGTGGGTATTGTCCGCGTGAAAAACATGTGGATTCAGACCATGTGCACTGTTATTGTGACACCAGGGGTAAAGTATGCTGGACAAGCTAATTGAATTTCCCTCAGTCATCAATTATATCTTAAAAGTCCTTCAAGATTCAATCCCAAAACTTCCAGCCCTTAACCTACTTGACTTCTCTTGTCAATTCTGGTTCCCCCTTAACATCTGTAGTACTGAATCTCTTACAAATTACTTATCATATGCTGTTTATTTTGCCTTACCTTACAATATCTTATAAACTTATAAAAGTTCTTCAAATGTGATATAAAATTAGTTGAAAAGCCATACATACAGATGTGCATACAGAAAGCATTAACTTATATGTATTTCTTTTTTTTATTTTTAAAGCTATATTTATTTATTTATTTTAACTTTTATTTAATGAATATAAATTTCTGAAGTACAGCTTATGGATTACAATGGCCTCCCACCCATAACGTCTCTCCCACCTGCAACCCTCCCCTTTCCCACTCTCTCTCCCCTTCCATTCACATCATGATTCATTTTTGATTTTCTTTATATACAGAAGATCAGTTTAGCATACATTAATATTTCAACAGTTTGCTCCCACACAGAAACATAAAGTGAAAAATACAGTTTGAGTACTAGTTATAGCATTAAATCTCAATGTACAGCACACTAAGGACAGAGATCCTACATGAGGAGTAAGTGCACAGTGACTCCTGTTGTTGACTTAACAAATTGACACTCTTGTTTATGGCATCAGTAATCACTCTAGGCTCTTGTCATGAATTGCCAAGGCTATGGAAGCCCCCTGAGTTCACTGACTCTGATCATATTTAGACAAGGCCATGGTCAAAGTGGAAGTTCTCTCCTCCCTTCAGAGAAAGGTACCTCCTTCTTTGATGACCCGTTCTTTCCACTGGGATCTCACTCGCAGAGATCTTTCATTTAGGGTTTTGTTTTTTTTTTTTTTTTTTTTTTTTTTTTTTTTTTTTTTTTTTTTTTTTTTTTTTGCCAGAGTGTCTTGGCTTTCCATGCCTGAAATACTCTTATGGGCATTTCAGCCGGATCCACATGCCTTAAGGGCTGATTCTGAGGCCAGAGTGCTGTTTAGGACATCTGCCATTCTACGGGTCTGCTGTGTATCTCGCTTCCCATGTTGGACCATTCTCTCCCTTTCTATTCTATCAGCTAGTATTTGCAGACACTAGTCTTGTTTATGTGATCCCTTTGGTTCTTAGTCCTATCATTATGATCAATTGTGAACATAAATTGATCACTGGGACTAGTGAGATGGCATTGAACATGCCACCTTGATGGGATTGAATTGGAATCCCCTGGTATGTTTCTAACTCTACCATTTGAGGTAAGTCAGCTTGAGCATGTCCCGAATTACACATCTCTTCCCTCTCTTATTCCCACTCTTATATTTAACAGTGATCACTTTTCAGTTAAGTTTCAGCACTTAAGAATAATTGTGTATTGATTACAGTATTCAACCAAAAGCATTAAGTAGAACAAACTAAGAGGGATAACATATTAAGTTGCTCATCAACAGTCAGGGTGAGGGCTGATCAAGTCACCGTTTCTCCTAGTGTTCATATATGTATTTCTAAAAAAAAAAATTAACTCCACTGTACATCAGACACTTTTGCAAGAGCACAAGAATATTTGACTGTTACAAGATTCTTACCTTAAAACTTTGTTTAAATAGATAATTATAATTTGTTTCATTCAGCTGTAATAAAATTATAAACAGTACATAACTATATGAAGCATTATCAGGAAACAAAGTCCAACCCAAGAAACAACAGGTAGAGAGATTAAATGCACATGTGTGAGCAGGATTAAGACACACTGAGGTACACAGAGACTAGAAAGAGTAGAAGTACACTACTATCCCTAAGATGAAAGAATAAGACAAAGGTTAAGACAAATAGGAAGACACAGATGGAGGAGAAGGAGAAAGATAAAAAGAAGAAATGTAGTTACTGGAATCACGGTATGAATGGGAACCATGGAGGAAAGACTGTCTAACAGAAAAGGAATAATGGAAGAACCAGGACACTCCAAAAATAAAATTTAAAACAGGTAGAGAGCAGTAAAGAAACCACAGATCCCTCTCTCTCTTCCATTTGTAATTTCTTCTGGTGCCTCCCACAGAGTTAGCCCAAATAGATGCCTGTAGTAGGGGTATGAAAACAGCACTTGGAAACATCCTCCTGGGAAGTGGGGAGGGAAAAAAGAAATGGGGCATGGGGCCAGAGTGTGGCACAGTGGGTTAAGCCATGATCTGTGACAAAAACATCCTATCTGAGTGCTGGTTCAAGTCCCAGTTTCTCCACTTCCAATTCAGTTCCCTTCTAATGTACCCAGGAAAGCAGCGGAAGATGGACCAGTACTTGGACCCCTGCACCCATGTGGAAGACCGATATGGAATTCCTGGTTCGACTTTGACCTGGACCAGCCCTAACCATTGCTGCCATATGGATGCAAGATCTCTCTCACTGTGTGTGTGTGTGTGTGCGTGTGTGTGTCTTTCTGTCTGTCTCTGTAACTCTCTGCCTTTCAAATAAATAAATAAATCTATAAAAAGAAAAAAACTGGGCAGAATAGAGAGGACCCATATCAACTGTGGGAAAACATCCATGTTTAGATATATTTTAATAGAAGGGAAGGGAGATCTTCAGGGAGGAGGTAAAATGGGAAGACAGCAAAGGCAGTTCAAGTAGAGTCGATTGCAGAA